TCACCTACTGCTTAATGTATTTGCTATTATTATTCCTTGCTGAATCATTTGTCCTTAATAAAAATCATAATGTTCTAACAAAAGGTACATTTTTATCACTCAATTTAAGACCCGTAATAATTTTTGTCTTAAGTTTAGGAATAAGTCTTTTAGTCAATTTGTATCTGAACCAAAATATTTTTTTGAGTTTTGTCATTAATTCTTTCATATTTATAACAGTATTTTCGTCATCTATACTTACTGAAAAGCAAATGTTATTAAAGATAAAAAGTAGATTCTTTTCAAATAATACTAAATGAAAAATAAAAAAATATTACTTATTCTATCACAATTTCACCCTTCAGTGACACCAAATGTTTTCAGATGGCAAAGGATTTGTGAAGAATTTGTCAAACAAGGAAATAGCATTACTATACTTACTACAAAATCGACCAATACTCAAAATGACTATTTTTCAGATGATCTTAGAATTATTAGGACAGGCCACAACACATTAATGGATTTATGGCAATACTATACATCAACAAAAAACAAAAGAAGTGAATATGGATCCGTAAACAAAAAGCCAAGCTGGATTCGATCATGTTTAGAATTCATTATAAATCAAACTTGGAGAAAAATTTATTGGCCCGACGGCACTGCCCTATGGTACTTCCCTGCCAAATCAAAAATAAAAAATCTTTTCAAAGAAGAAAGCTTTGATGTGGTGATATCAGTTGGACTGCCTTTTACAGCTCATCTCTTAGGTAAATTTTGCAAATTAAATTCTAAACGCTGCATTTGGATTATGGATATAGAAGACCCGTTTTGTTATTCCGACGAATTTTGGGTAAATAACTTCTCACTTTACAAAAAGCTAAACATAAGAAAAGAGAAAGAGTGCTTTCAGTTTGCAGATCATATTAGTGTTACAAACCAATCCGCCTTAGACAAGTATATGGAATACTATAGTTTTGCAAAATCCAAGATCGAAGTAATACCACCTTTGTTAAATGAAGATCACTATGACGGAGATTATAAAATAAATTTGGATCCAAACGAATGCAATTTAGGATATTTCGGATCGTTTTACCATAATGTAAGGGAGCCACAAAGATTGGTTAATTTCTTAAAAAAAGTCAAAAACGCAGATCCATTATTCTTTTCAAAATTAAAAATTTATATTGCTGGTCAATTAAGCCCCAAACACGCTTATTACTTTTTTAACATCGAGCCAGAAATAAAAGACAAAATAGTATTAATTGGATTTATAAACCAACGTGACATCCATTATTTGATGAAAAGAATGCACTCTTTAATCAATATCGGTAATACAACATCTTATCACCTTCCGAGCAAAATTGTAGATTATCTGGCATCAAAAAGACCAATAATTAATTTAATAACAACTCCCAAAGATTCAGTCAAACAAATGATTGGTGAGAAATATTTCATACATATTTCTGAACAAGCTTCAAATGAAGAAATTAAAAAAGCAATAAATTATATGCAAACTGATATCAAAAATGAGTTTTTTCATGATATAAAACTTAATGAATTTATTGCTACATCTATTGCAAAAAAATATATGCAAATGATGGGATAATAAGCTGATGTTTTATCTATATTTGACAATATAAAATAAATAAAATGCGGCAAAATTGTAAAACTTTGATTATCGAAGCATAGTTAAATTAAGAAAAGCTAAATTAAGTATCATAGTATAACACTTTTTCTAGTGCATTTTTAATTTCAATATTTTTTGTTATGTATTCATCCTTTAAATTGTAAAGTACTTTTTCATAATTTCCTTTCACTTTGTACCATTCAATAGCTTCAACGATTTCAGCACTATCTCCTGGTTTAACCCAATAGGCACAAAGTTCTGATAATTGTTCCCGAAGGCCCTGTAAATCAGATACAATCATAGGAATACTACATCCTATCCCCAGCGTTAAAACTCCTGATTGGGAAGAATCAATATATGGTAAAACAAGAATATTATGACTTAAAAGCAATTTCCCTAATTCATCTTCAGACAAATATTTATTGATAAACTTAAGTTTCGGATCATTTGGTATCCGAACATCTGTATCGAAAACTTCTCCCGCAATGGTTAATTTGTTAACGCCACCTTTCATTTTTTCGAATGCATCTACAAGTACATTAACACCTTTATATTTAGAAATCCTACCAATAAAAAGGATGGACGGAAATGGTTCAAATTTATAGGTTGGCATTTGATTAAGTACTGTCAAAATTGGATGCTCTATGATTTCAATTTTTTTGTAAATATTTTTATTGTTTACCTTTTTTGCTTCATTGCGAGTTAAGAATATAATTTTTGAAGCAAAATACATAGATAACTTTTGGATTAAGGTAGTGAACATATTACCTTCACCGACATGGTTTTTGTAATCGTGTACAGTTATTATAGTTTTAATTTTATACATAAATGCATAAAATACAAGCATTAAATTCCATGGGTGAAAAACCGGAAAGTAAAAAACAATTGTTTTACCGTCATACTCTCTTCTAAGCTTTCTTACTAAATAAATAGCTTTGAAAAAAAACCAAACAGAATTTACAAAAAATTCAAATTTATTGCGATAGGTAATTATTCTTTGTTCATTAGATAGATTTGATACATTAGTGTATGTTGAAAAATAGACCAAAGGATTTGATAAAAATGATACCATTTTTGTAGAATAATCCAAACAACCTTTACGCGTTAAAGAAAAAACCACAACTTTGATGTTTTCATCTTGTTTATCTTGTGTTATCAATGGTTGAATTTTGCATGAATGATGATTTGATCCTTATGACAATAAAATTATTGCCTTAGAATTTAGAATATTGTAACATTCTGAATTTCATTTGCAAAACTAATAATTAAAAAACAAAATAGGATCTTTGGATACATCTAAAAGTATATTGGTTATTATTGGAACCCGGCCAGAAGCTATTAAATTATGTCCTTTGATCAAATCCTTATCGTTGAAGTATAACGTAAAATGTCTATGTACTGGTCAGCATTATCAAAGTGTCATTCAAATATTAAATCTATTCAAAATAGAAGCAAATATAATTCACAAGGAAAGAAAATTTAATAATATAAGCAGGCAACTTTCTTACTATCAAAATATTATTAATGATTTTCTTTTAACTTCATCGATAGATTTAATTATCGTCCATGGTGATACAACATCATGTTTTGCTGGTGCACTATCTGCATATTTCTCTAAAATACCTATTGCCCATGTTGAAGCTGGTTTGAGAACACACAATCCATACGCGCCATTCCCAGAAGAAATGTATCGTAAATGGACAGATGCAGTAGCTACCATGTGTTTTGCCCCTACTAAACTATCTGAAAAAAATCTTTTAAATGAAGGAATTGATAACCAGAAAATATCTATTACAGGAAATACAATAGTTGATGCTATCAATTATGTAAAAACATTAGGTAACAACAATATTGGACAGAATAATTTTAAAATTCAAAATATTTTGGACCAATCCGAATTGAGATTTTTTTTGGTAACATTGCACAGAAATGAAATCAGAGAAAATAAACTTGAGCTGATTGCAAATAAAATATGCGAAATAGCAAAAGAAAAGAATTTTAAAATAATATGGCCTTTACATCCTAACAAAATTGTTAGAAATATAGTAAAAAAAGTAGCCCAAAACTATGGTAACGTAATAATTACAAAACCACTAGAATATCACTTTTTTATAAAAATAATGGAAAAAGCATCAATAATTATAACTGATAGTGGAGGCATTCAAGAAGAAGCATCAGTTCTTGAAAAAAAATTATTGATTATCAGAGAAGAGACAGAAAGACCAGAAGTTTTAGAAAATGCTTCAGCAATCCTTGCGGGTACAGATCAATCTTTATTTGAAAGTTTAATTAATAGTTTATTAGAAGTATCATTAAATCAAAGTTTTAAACATGACATTTTTGGAAGCGGTAGTGTCTCGGAAAAAATAGTTTTTGCTATTTCTAAATATTTTGATGAAAAATAGTTTTGATATTTAGTCTTTAATGCAATCAAAGCAGTCGTTTCTATATATTTATATTTAGAACAGACTTAAGTATTTTATCCTAAAAGTTTATGACTATATCTAAATATCATAAGACAAATCGCCCAAATTTTAAAAACCTGAAAACTTGACAACATCGATTCTTTTTGAACATTAATACAAAAATATCACATCTACAACCTAGTATCTATTTTAAAGAATTATTATAAGTTTTAATGTCATTATAGATTTTACTTTTAAGTTTTTTTTCATATTTATCCATATGCTCTATTTCTTCGATCATTACAGCTAATTTCTTTTTTGCATCAGCTGTTCTACCAGTTTGTTGCAAATATTTTGAATATTCTAATCGTTGAAAATAGTTTGAAAACAAACCATCTTGACTTTTAAAGATAGATTCAGCTTTATCTACATCACCAGAATAATAATATGCCCAAGCTAACAATGCTTTTTCTTCTGCATTTGCAAAAGTGTAATCATTTTTAATTTTTTCACCTGCTATGATGCATTTTCCATACTCCTTTTGACTATAGTATGCCTGCAAAAGCAACCTATTTATTTCTTGGTCATCTGCATGAATACCTACCAAACATGAGTTCAATAAGTCTATTGCCTCATTAATGCGACCTTTATTTAAATATTGGATAGCCAAATGTTTTTTATTTGACATGGTATCCGTAAATTTTGTTTCTCTCTCTAATTTTTCTACATGATAATTACTATTTACTATACCTCGGAAACCATCTGATAAATCATCAATCAAAGATTTTTTGTAAAAATTCAGATAAAGATATACAAGAGAACCTACTAATGGTACAAATATTATCAACCAATAATATTTTTGATGCGTGTTATTTTTGTATGAATGATAAAGACAAAATCCTTGTAGTATTAATACTGGCGTGTAGTAACCGTAACTATCTAACATATTTTACCTATTGAAACTATTTATTATTATTTTTAAATTGACCTTCCACCAGATTAAAGATCTCCAATGCTATCCGTTTGTCATCAAATTCATTGATGGCTTTTGCCCTTCCTGCGAGTCCCATTTCTACTTGTCTGTCATGTGTCAAAGAAAGAAATTCATTAAATGCAGTAGTCAAACCTTTGATGTCTTTTATATTTACAAGATATCCATTGATCCCTTCATCTACAGTCTCAGCACAACCAGCAGTCAACGTCGTGATGACGGGTTTTGCCATGGACATACCTTCTATTACGATTCTCGGCAATCCCTCTCTGTATGAAGGTAACACAATGCAGTCAGACTGAGCAATAATACTTCTCACATCCTTAATAAATCCATGATAATACACTACATCTTCATCTACCCATCGTACTAAGTCGTCTTTGTCTATCGTAGCAGGATTTTCTGCATCCAACTCACCAACGACCCAAAATTCTACATCTTGTCGGATTGCTTTTATCTGTCGAGCTGACTCAACAAACTCGCGGATACCTTTATCATACAAAAGTCTGCCAATAAAAGTAAAAATGATTTTGCTTTTAACCTGCCCATTTGGATATGGATGGTACCATGTGGTATCTACACCACATCCTTTTACAGAAATGGCTTTGTCACCAGAGACGATACCCAATTGTGCAAATAACTCTCTGTCTTCAATATTTTCAAAAATAAACTTCTGATGATACTGAGCTGAAAAACGATATAGCATAGTCATCATCTTACGCACAAAACCTTTATTGATAAATGCATATCCAAGTCCTGTCACGACCGCTATAGATTTTATGCCTGCTATTCTTGCAGCAATGCCACCATAAATATTTGGTTTATTGGTAAAATGTAGGACAATGTCGGGTTTTATCTTTTTGTATCTTCTGGTGAGTTCTAGTAATAATAGAATGTCCTTAATAGGATTGGTGCTATCTCTATCCAATAATCTCAGACCATAATGACGCACAGACGGATACTTTTCTTTATAGGTAAGGTACTCATCTACAGGTGCAATGACGACCACATCCATACCTTCGGCAATAAACTTATCTATCAGGTTAAGTCTGAAGTTGTAAATATTCCATGTGGAATTTGCAACGAGTGCTATGGTCTTTTTTGCTGAGATTTGTCTTTAAATTTTATTACTAAAAGGGATTTTCATAATCTAAACTGATAGATTATCATAAAGTAAACTGACGAATTTTCATACTTTAAACTGATAGAATATCATGCTTTAAATTGACGAATTTTCATAAACTAAACTGATAAATTATCATAATCTAAATTGATAGATTTTCATAAACTAAACTGACGAATATTCATACTTTAAACTGCAAATAATCCTACCCCAAAAACACTATTAACTTCAGTGGTAGTATTTGGGATGATGCTCAAGACTTAAAAAAAAATTTCTACTTGCTTCATGTCTTCACCTTGTACAAATACAGATTTAAAATCATCTAATAGATCTAACAAATGATGTCCAACAAGGCAAATCCGCAGTTAAATCAAATTTTCAATTCATGCAATCCAAGTTGAGACAGACATATTTACAGAACAAACTTCTGAACTACACCTTTGATCTCTTGTTCGTCAGATTTTGGGTAGATTAGTAGGGCATTCTCTTCATCTACCACGATATAGTCTTTGAGTCCTTTGATTACGATTTGTTTGTGGTTATTGGATATCACAATGATGTCTTTTGCATCTATCAAATGGATATTTTGACCTACACTTACTGCATCATTTCCATCGCTCATATAGGCATGGAGACTATTCCACGTACCAAGATCGCTCCATCCTATGTCCGCAGGTATAGTATATACATTATCAGCTCGCTCTAGTATGGCATAGTCCACCGATATCTTTTGTGTATCAGGATATACTGCATCAATATAGGCTTGCTCATCCGAAGTACCATACAATGCATTTTGCTGCATCAATACATCTAAGATTTGTGGTGCATTGATTTTATATGATTTCAGAATAGTGGGTACACTCCACACAAACATACCCGCATTCCATAGATAATCACCTGACTCCAAATATGTCTCAGCTGTCGCCAAATCAGGTTTCTCCTTAAATGAAATGACTTTGTGTATTTGCTCATTTCCAATGGTTTCCTTTTGGTAATTGATGTAACCATAACCAGTATCCGGTCTAGTAGGCTGAATACCTAAGGTTACAATCGCTTCATGTGAAGTGGCAAAATCAAATGCTTGACTTAGTTTGCTGACATATTCTTCTTCCTTCAGGATGACGTGGTCTGATGGCAGAACAGCAAAAACTGCATTTGGATCTAAGGCGTTGATGCGCAATGCGGTATATGCGATACAAGGTGCCGTATTATTCATGCTCGGTTCGCAAAGGATATTCTCTTGTGGCAATTCTGGAAGATGCTCCATGACCAAAGCCTTGTACTTCTTATTGGTGACAATGAATACATGATCAGCAGGTACTAATTTCATTGCACGCTCGAAAGTCATCCTAATGAGAGACTTCCCTACACCCAGGATATCTAGAAACTGTTTTGGTCTTTCATTGGTGCTTGATGGCCAAAATCTACTACCTACACCGCCTGCCATGATGGCTATATATTTATTCATACTATTTATTACTAGTAATTAAATGCCTTATACTGGAGTTGCAAACTTGTTTGCAACACATGTACGATTCTTGCAAACAAGTTTGCAAGTCCAATATTACCTTCCGAAATCATCTTGCAATCTTATGATATCGTCTTCATTGGATGGATCATTGGCGTCGGTATGTTGCCATATTTCTGCTATGATGCCCCATTCATTTAGTCCTATGAGACGATGTCTCTCGCCTTGTCTAAGGGTCAGGGTCTTATTTAGCTCCATGATATTAATATCGCCTTCTTGGTCAGTATCACTTTTTTTGTAAGCTGCTTTGCCTTCTATGAGTTTCCACAATTCTGATCTTCTGTGGTGATACTGCCATGAAAGTCTTTGCTCTGGTGCTACACATAAGATTTTGGGACTCAGCGGTAGCGTAGTAGCAGTGAGTTCATCTGCTAGCTCAAGATAAAACTGAAGAATAAACTTCTTAGTATCCACAGGATCTATGACTAAAAACCCTCCCCAAGGTCTATCGAAGTCATGGGTTTGGATGTGGAAGCCTAAGCCTTGAATTTTAGCTAAAATAGACTGAAGTGTGTTTGATTTTGTGTCCACGATATGGTATGGTTTAAATGGGATAATTAAAGAAAAATAAAAGTTGTATTGAATGGTATGTATGGATGTTTTATTTTTTAATTTATTGTTTTCAAAAATGTATTATAAGGATATTATAACATCAATAATTCTCTCTGCTGTCTTTCCATCCCAAAGCTCTGGTATACTTCCTTTTTTCCAATTACCTTTCTCCATTTTCTGAATATATGAGATGATATTGTCAGGATTGGTGCCGACCATTTCATTGGTACCAATAGTGACGGTTTCTGGTCTTTCCGTACTATCTCGCAGCGTCATGCATGGTATGCCAAGAACAGTAGCTTCTTCTGTAATTCCTCCAGAATCAGTAATAATGCCAGCTGAGTTTTTAATAGTATAGATAAACTCTAAGTAAGGCATTGGAGTAGTAATAAATATTTTATTTAAAGACAAACCTAAATCATCAAATATTTTTTTGGTTCTTGGGTGCATAGGAAAAATGACTTTTTTGTCCCCACAGTGTGCATCAATTATTGACATTAATTTAAATAGGTTTGCAGGATCATCAACGTTGGATGGTCTGTGTAGGGTAGCTACTAAATATCCTTTTTGCTTTAGATTTTGCTCGACATAAAATGTTGGCTCCTGCAATCTGTCCAAATTCCCTAATAATGAATCAATCATTGTGTTCCCCACAAAAAACACCTTATCTTTATGTACACCAAGTTGCGCTAAATTTTGGTTTGCTACTTGCGATGTCGTAAAAAAGTAGTCTGTAATACTGTCCGTGACAATTCTATTTATTTCTTCCGGCATAGTCATATCACCTGACCTTATGCCGCCTTCTACATGGGCTACTTTGACCCATTCCTTTTTGGCTACAATTGCACAAGCCATGGTAGATGTGACATCGCCTACTACGATACAAAGTTCAGGTTTCCATGTTTTGATGGCTTTTTCATATCCTATCATGATGGCGGCTGTTTGTTCAGCTTGTGTGCCGCCTCCTGCTCCAAGATTAAGATGTGGTTCTGGAATATTAAGTTGTTGGAAAAAAGTTTCGCTCATGGCTTTATCATAATGCTGCCCTGTATGAATAAGCCGAAACTCAATTTTTATTGCTGATGATTTATTGTATTTATGAATAGCATGTATAATGGGACCAATTTTCATAAAATTTGGTCTGGCACCTGCTATAATATCTAATTTGGTCATATATTCTACCTAAGTTTTAAAATATGAGATTTCTCTATTTTTATTTTTTTCTAAATTAAATTAGAACTATTTGATTGCTTCAATCATTTTATGTGCCAAATTTACACGATCAAAATCTTTTGTCATTCTAATGCAGCCATCGATATAAATCTTATTTAATGTATTCATTTTGATTACATTTAATTTACCAAGAAAGTCTTTTTCATTTTCAGGCTCAAAGCATAACCCAACATTATAGTTTTCAACCAAATCTTTTGATTCACCTTCTACACCAAGAAAAATCGGTTTATTCATTGCAGCATTTTCAAATATTTTAGATGGTATGACCGATTTAAAAGTATCTGACTTTTTTAGTGTTACCAAAGCAACATCTATAATACTTATAAAATTCTGAATTTCATTTTTTGGCACAGAATATAACATTGTCACATTAGTTAACGACAACTCTTCCTTTAACTTCATAAGGTTTTCTCTTTCAGCACCATCTCCAATAAATAAAATATGTATTTCGGGGTCCTGAATGTTTTTTGCACACTTTAAGATAAAATCTAATCTATGTGCCATTCCATGCGTGCCAAAATAAGCCAAAACGAACTTTTCTCGTAAATTAAGTTTTTCAATCACAGACAAGTCCTTGGGAATTGGTTTAAACTTATCAATATAAACACCATTCTTTATTACATAGATTTTTTTTGGATCTATCCCTTTTTGTATTATGTTTTCTTTAAATGAATCCGTAACAACTACTATTTTAGTTGCGGATTTATATAAATGTTTTTCAATTTTCTCTAATAATGAAATAGCCTTACTTTTTTTCATTGCACCGACAGCAACTATTGATTCTGGCCAAATATCACGAACTTCCATTACCCAAGGCTTTCTTTTTAAAAAAGAACTCAGTCTTCCAGCAATGGCCGTAAAAAATTGAGGTGATGTTGCAATAATTAATTCTGTCCGTACAAATATTGATATTATAAAAGCCATAAAAGCAAAACTAATATAATCTACAATTCTTTTAAAAGTACCAGTATTAGCCGTTATGAATGACCAAACCCGAATGACTTTAATACCATCAATGAATTCCTTTTGATATAATTTGTTTTTGTATCCTGGAAAAACTTTGCCTGCTGGAAAATTGGGGACACATGTTATTACAGTAACGTCCATTCCCATTTTTACCCATTCCCTACAATGCTCATACGTCCTGTTTGCAGGAGCATTCATTTCAGGGTAAAAATTATCTGTAAGAAATAATATTTTCAAATGGTGATTCTTGTTGTTAAGCTATTATTAAATAAGACCGTGGCTTTTTGGGCGATAACATTTTTATTAAAGCCTAAACAAAATTGATATTCTGATAACACTACTTCATTGGCTCCTTCAAAGTAAATAAAAACATTATTTACTTTGAATCCAGAGTTTGATAGATTTATACTTGCCGTTGGATGGAAATGAAATTCCAATCTCGCATCCTTTATACAAATATTTTCAGTTATTGTAAAAACCGTTTCTGAAATTAAAAATGTCCTACTATAGGTTTGAGCAAAGCCATTGTGAAATGCAGATAAAGAAGTCTTATTTTCGTGTGAAATAATTGATTTTGCCCGTTTGCCTACCCTAAATCCATCCCAAACTTCGGAAGAATTTCTTCCATTTACATTGACAGTATTGTGACTAGATGTCGATCGTTCCTTCTGTCTAATTTCATTTTTCTCATAAGTACTAATTCCAGGATCAACAATAAATGGTTGGTTATTCACTCTGCACTCAAATGACAAACTATCTGCATGGGCATGACCAGGAATATAATCGGGTCCTATATTACCTGCCTTAATAATAACATCAAAGTTTCGATTTTTAAATCGTCTGTACCCAGAATCGATTAATTTATTAGGGGTAAAATTAAGTCTTAAACTTTTTGCATAATCCAGTAAATCTAATGGTTTTATGGCTATTCCATCTGTTGAGTCATTAAAATGTGGCAGACTACCATCTTCATACATAACAGATAATAACCATTCACACATTTTTACAGCTTTATTTTGGATAAATAATAAGAATTGATCCTGTTTTCCAAAAGAATGTTCTAAGATGGATTTATTATTATGAAATATATTTATTGTATCTAACAATCGTTGAAGCATTAAACAATGATACATAGGTGAAAGCTCAAAATGTGCCCCATCATTTAATATTTGTTCTTCAAGTTGCTCAATCAATATTGCCTTACCTTGGTTATATATATATTTGTCTTGAAAAAAAACACCTCCTAAAACTAAAGCGAACCCATTTTCTAATAAATGATTTCCCATTAAATGAAATTCTTTATTATCATTCAATATATATAATTGATTATATAATGAAAGCAAAAATTGATCCTCTATATTTTCATTTTTTATAAAATACTTTACCCAATTTATGACCCTTAACGAAGTTGGAAAAGGTTCATTAGCATTCTTTAACTTTGGGAGGTTGGAAATAAATTCAAAGATTATCTCATAAAAATGGTCTTTATATATTTTGGCATCTGATTGATTTAAAAATTCAAAATAATTGAGATTATAAGTCCAAAGTTTGCCATACTGAGCGAAGTCCCAATCTATTTTATCATGAAACTCATGATTTATATTTAAAAAACGAAAATGGTTATTTCCTGTATATGAAGTTAATTGGGCTAAATCCCCAATCATACTCAACTTTTTAAAAGATGGTGTTTTTTTATCAAAAACATATTTGTGGCCAGCAAAAGAACGAAAAAGCTTTCTAACCTTATACCATAGCTGATAACGAATTTGTGTCCATTTCAGAAATCTTAAAGTGTTATAATAAAGTATAGCTTTTCGGATCATTAAAAATTTATAACATAACCATAATAAATGATAACTATGTCACTTTGCAAAGCAATATACTTTAATTTGTCTTTGGACCTATTAATTGACATCCACCCAACTTTTTGTCATTAATGACTCAACAGCAGCTATTGCAGCCCTTGATGTATTTATGATCTCGTCCAATGGAATTATTGGACTTCCCCCAGATTTTATTCTTTCCATCAATAATCTAAACTGCTCTTGATGGCCTTTATCTTGTGTTTTTGACATTCCAGAACTCTTAAATCCAAAATACTTTGACTTTCTAAAGTTATCAATTACAATTGTTCTATTTTGAGCATAAATCTCTATTCTTTCTTTACTGTAAGCCTTACTACCATTTGCAAAATAATTAATTACACCAGTACTGCCATTTTTATATTTTAATAAAATTGTAGCATTATCAGTATTATCTGATGGGTTGTTGCCCATGGCATTCATTACAACGCTTTCCACCAATGAACCTGTCAAAGAAGTAATTAGATCAATCAAATGACAAGCTTCGCCAATAATACGACCTCCACCTATCTCCATATCTTGTACCCAAACGTCTTGAGGTATAAATCCCGCATTCATTGTTGCAACAATGTTTATTGGAATATTGGATATACCTAATTGTTTTTTTGCATCAATGATAAAAGGCGAAAATCTTCTATTAAATCCAACTGTGAGTGTGCCATTAGACTTCTGCAATGTTAAAATGATGTCGTCAAGCTCCTTATTATTGAGAGCTAATGGTTTCTCGACAAAAACATGTTTTCCCGCATTTAAACTTTCTATAACTTGGGAAGCATGTGCATTATGCCTTGTGGTTATGAATACAATGTCAACTTCCGAATCTTTAAGAATTTCTTTATAGTCTGTTGTAGAATTGGAAACACCAAACTTTTTAGCCAAAGTTGTGCCAGAAAGTCCTTTTGACGATGCTATGTATTTTACTGATGCATTTATCTTATTTAGTGAAGGTAAAATAGTAGAACCAGTAAAGTTTCCTGCCCCAATAATTCCAACGACTCCATTTTGTTTCGAAAAGTTCTTTTCTAGTAATTTTACAGTGTTAAAAAACTGTTTCTCTAAAACATCATCATACTTAAGAATTGAAGCAATAGATTTTGATGATGACATATTGCCATATACTTGATTAAAGTCATTAATCGGCACGACTTCTGTAATTAATGGCGCTACAGATAGTTGTCCTTTTTCTAATGCACTAAGCACAGCTTCAAAATTTCTTTTTTCTGTCCATCTTACATAACCTATTGGATAATCATGACCTTTTTCTTCATAGCTTTCATCGTATCTTCCTGGACCATAAGAACAAGAAACTTGAAAACTAAGTTCTTTTTTGAAAAAATCAGATCTATTTATATCTAAACCAACGACTCCAACTAGGACAATCCGCCCCTTTTTCCTACACATACCTGCTGCCTGAGCTATGACATCATTTGATTTTGTAGATGCTGTTATCAAAACTCCATCAGCGCCAATACCATTTGTTAAACTTTCTAATAATGTTATTGGATTTGTTCCATCATCTACTGAGTAAGCTTCTATACCAAATGACTTAGCAAGGTCCACTTTACTACTATCAAAATCTAAACCAATCACTCTGCAACCATTAGCTAGCAATAATTGTCCAGAAATCAATCCAATTAAACCAAGACCTGTCACGACTATAGTTTCACCAAAGGTGGGACCAATTAATCTAATACCTTGAAGACCTATTGCTCCTATTACTGTAAATGATGCCTGATCATACGTCACTGTATCAGGAATCTTTGCCACCAAATTTTGCCCAATACAAACCACTTCAGCATGGTGCCCATTAGATGCTACTCTATCACCAATTTTAAAATCATTTACTCCTTGCCCAACCGCAATAACTTCACCTACATTACAATAACCTAATGGAAGTGGTTCTCCCAATTTTCTAAATACAGCCTCAA